TCCCAAATATTTCCACTTTAATATTGCTGTTTAGACTTTTAGCACTGCACATAAACATTTTTGAGAGCTCACTGCAAAGGTGGAATTTTGACCAGTGCCTGAAGCTCTGAGCAGGATTTTATGTTGGTGGAATAAAATGAAATAGATCTAATTAAACAGTATAGGTCATTTTATAATGGATATTGAAGCTTATCTGACATGACCATGGCCAGGGAAATGAGGGAGATTTAAGAATAAAGGAAACCCTGGATTTGGTGCCTATTTGAACACATACAAGAATGACAAGGACGTTGCTCCTGCAGTAGGTTCAAAGAAACCATTCCTTCCTGCAAATGGCACGGTTTTCCTATAGTTTATTTTTATCACCCAAATGTGACATTTAAAATGTTTCTACTCCAAAAGGAACGCTACAAATGGAGTAGTTAGATCTCTGCATCACAGGATAGAAAGTATCTTAGATCTTCATTTGCCACGCTCAATTTATCCGTGTTTACTTCTTGTGGGAATTTTACCGCAGATGTTTTTCGATTTTTCCCCTACCTCTTTGAACGGAATCCGGGGACTGTTTTGTTATTCACGCAGAAAATACTCATCTATTCTTTCATTTTAGGAAAGTGACAAAAAAAAAATTGTTTCTCTCCTCTTGCATTTCTAACAGCAGCCAGTGTAGACAGACATGGCTCTCCACCCCCCCACCCCACTGCTGACTTGACCTGCTTTCGATAATAAACATTTCCAGGATAGCAAATAAAATGCGAAGCATGTCAAAGAACTTCAAGCCCACCTTGGTCACCAGCAGGCCGAGTGGAAACAAGCAGCGGGAACGAGGTAGAAGACGGTATTTTTTCTTCTTGGGGCTCTTATTTTAATACTAATTGGCACCATTTTCAACACCCTCCATTTGGATTTGCGGAGGGTCTATCCTAAAGTGGAGCGGCAGGTGCAGGGCGCAACTCCCCCACACCCCTTCCCTGTGAGTCCACTTGGTGGGGAGGTCTCACCAGCCCAGCCCTCGGCGGGGGACCACCGCAAAGGAGCCGATTCAGCCCTGAGTCCTCCTTCCTCTTATCCTACCCCCTCTCCTTCTATTTCATTGCCTTTATCTCACATTCCCGGTTCCGACGAGCTAGTCTGCTGTTCTCGCTTTTGCGGAGGGTTTACAATTCCCTCTTAGGGGTCAGCTCTTCGTGCCATGTATCTCCTTGCAGCTAGCCATTTCTTAGCATTAGTATTTTTTAAGTGTGATGCGGGAGATCTCCTTTGCAAATCTGTGTGTGGGAGGGGGGAAGGAAGGGAGCACAATGTAACCTAGTGCATAAAGTGCATTTGTAGCCTGCTCTACTTTTTTGAAAAAAAGAAAATTAAAAGATTCGATTTGACAGAGCTCTTAAAATCATAGCAAAAACTCGGGGACTGGGCTGAACCAGGACACAGGCGGGAGCAATTGCGGGCTCGGCAGGCCCGAGGCGCGGCTGTGGGAAGGAAGACCCAGGATTCTGACCCTGCTCACTCGGAGCCTGCGCTGGTTCTGCGTCTCTGGAGGGAGGCTGCTGGGTACCGACGTTGATCATTAGGCCCAGGCTCTGCCCAGGGCCCTCCTGGGATGCTGCCTGTGTTTCCCGCCCTTGGGTTCTTCCTGGCAGAACCGAAAGGCAAGCCTGGGCGCGTCTGGCCCCGAGGTTGCTTCTTCAGCCCAGCGGGACCCGAGTCGGGCTTTCATGGGCATGTTCAGGTTTCTCCCGAAGACTATGAAATACGTGGCTCCCGGGAACACCCTGGCCTATTGCGACTGGCACGTTTCGTTTGCACCCAAATGGCTCCCTGAGAGAGTCCCACCAAAAATTAAAGCGACGCAAGAAACATAAAGCAGGCGTGACTGTCACTCCAAGGATGACCCAGAACGACCCTTCCTGCCGCCGCCAGCTTCCAGTCCCCCCCGGGGGGCGGGGGGAAGGCACTCTCTTCCTGCCTCATCTTTAACTCACGATTTTGGCACGGAGTCTGCCTCTCCTTTCTCTTTGCCTTGGGAAATCTGGGTCAGTTCCCAAGGCCATTCGGGAACCCTCGAATCCGTCCTTCGCCCCTCAGGGCGTCCAGCCCTAGCTGGACCCGTCAAATCGCAGGTCCCGGCACGCACCCTTAGCTCGGCAGCTCCCGAGCCCCTGGGAACCGTTCTTCACTTGGCTGCAAGCTGCGCCCGGGGCGCTCCAAACAACCAAGCCAAACCCAGCCCGGCATACACATACACACGGAACAGAGACTTTTTTTTTTTTTTTTTTTTTTTACCTCTGTGGGTTCAGCGCCGACCATGCTGCCGTCCCTTCGGTTGTGAAGGACACCAACCTGCATCCAAGGGAAGTGGAAGAGACGTTTCCTTTCCTTCCTTTTCTTCGACAATCCTACCTTTGTACTACCTCGCCCCCAGCCCAGCCCGCCGCGGGAACCTGCAGAGTCCAGCCTGAGGCCGACAGGGGGCGACAAATTGTAAGCTTTTTCAGGGGCCGGGCTGTGAGAGGACTGTGGCTAGCGCTGTGTGGTCCCAGCAGCAAGCAGCTGGCTGCTGGAGGGGTGGGGTGGGAGGGAGATGTGGAATGTGAAGTGAGGGTCGGCGGGCTCTGACACCATAAAGAACTCCCCGGCGCAATCCTCCAACCATCTCCCCCAGCCTCAACGGCCTTCGCCTCGGGGGAAAGAGCAGAAGATGCTCTCCTGGACTGCACCTCCTTGCACCTCCTTGCCAGGGTCCAGCGCTCTACTAGCAGAGGTGGGGCGATGTTCCCCTGATAGGGCAGTTGAGAACCAGCTCTCACCGTGGCACCTCTGACCTTATTTGTTCTTCTCTGAGCGTGCATGTCACTCCTCTCCTACAGGGAAAAAAAAAAAAATGGCTTTAGGTGCTTTACCTGGTCTTTGAGGTGCACTGGGTTATGGATACTGTGGTTCCCAGGTCTAGGAACCAATGTTTTTTGGTTTCCATCGCCCAACTTGAAATCCAGGCAATGAAAATCTAGATCAGAGGGTAACAGGTTCCAAACTACCTGGAGAGAACTAAGCGGGGTGGTGCGCATGCCACTCCCTGTGGCCTCTGAACACTCCCGCATCCTGTGTGTGCTCAGTTCTCTGCTCCGTGCCTTTGCAGAGCTCCTTGCTCTGTGCACCCACCTTAACCCAAACCGCCCCCTTCCCCCCTTTGGTAACCCAACCCGGCAAGGTAGTGAACAGGTTTAGTCTTCCAAATCGTTCCACCCTACCCACCTCTCACCAGAGCGCTGACTGTCCTCTTCCCCCATCCCCGTGGCCTCCCTGAGGCTCCTAGAGCCCAAGACTGCCCTATGTTCTCCGTGCAGTGGGAGGGGAGAGACCTCACCTCTTTTGAACCTGGTTTTTCTTTTTCCAGGGATTATTCTTGCCTGGGCCCGTCGCTCTCTGTCTGGAGAGCCCAGGGTACACGGCACAGGCTCTCCTAATTGGCACATTTCGACAGATTGACTAGGAGCTGTTGACTGCTCTTTGGTCCGGTAGCGGAGGGTAAGAGGATCTCCTGTGCCGGTCCGGTGCATGTGTGGCTCTGGCCACGTAGCCGCTCGGGCTCAGTACGCAGCTCTCTGCCGGCTCCCAAGCTCTAGAATCTTCGGGGACGGAGCACAGGGGAATCTTCCTGTCTCCTGAGGAGAGCTGGGAATCTGGAGAACTGAAAGCTCCCTCCTAGGTGCCCCTTCCTGCTCCTGCTAGTTCTGCCAATGCCCTTGGCACTCACTGACCCTACCCAGGTCCCGGCCTCCTCTTGTCAGTTCGGTGCAAAATCGGGAGCTTTCTACCTCCACACCTGCTATCTCTTGGACCCCACTGCAAGACTCCCTCTGGGACTGCCATGGTTGGCAACCCAGACTGGGAAGTCCAGAACCAGGTACTGCACTGACGCAGTTTGAAATGGAGAAGAGTTGACGGTTAATGCTAAGGCCAAAGAGTTCAGGGTTGTGCAAGCCCCCTTACAAATAAGGGCAAAAGAGCCATTCAGTGACTTAATGAGGACCCCTGGAAGCCTCGGGTGCTGGGTGAAAGATGAGGCTAGGTCGCCTGGGCAAGGAAGAATGTGGGGTTCTTGGCCTGGAAGAAGGGAACTGTCCTTTAGGCCTAGAGGGGAAGCAATGGCGTGCAACCTCCCAAAGGCCAGGCCACCAGGACAAGCCTGGGGTCCAGAGACTGAAGAATCCCTGTTCCTGGGGGCAGCAATTCACAATTACTTTCTGACTTGTGTCCTGTGCCACCTATCAGAAATGAGTGTGGGTGGGTGGACTTGTCCACAGAGAGACAGAATCTAAAATGTGCCCTTTTAACATCACTGAAATCACACCACTATCCTAGTGGAGTGGGTGGCAATTAAATATTGTAAAGATTTCCCTGAGATCAGGTTTGGGGTGTGGTAGGGAAATGAGACACCAGCAGTCTGTCTGCACAACCGCAAATCGCTCTCCCCCGCAAGCACCCTGCACTACGCTGAACGCTCACCACAAGGCACCCTTGCCCGGAGCTGGGGCACTGGCATCACTCTCCCCATGCCCCCCCCCGGGGGGGGGAGAGGGGCGGTAGAGGCAGCCATGAGCACTAACCTTGCTATGATCAACTTTTACCCTCTGATATATTAATGGTAATATTGGTGGAAGTAGTAATAAAACTAAAACCAAAACTAGTACTAGTACTAATAGTAGCACTAATAAATACTCATCAGTTTGGAACGACTACCTCATCATTCTCAAAAGTCGAGGCATAAGGGGCTTTGAGAGGAGCCAAAGAGAGTGGAAGGTCCCAGGTCCGGCTGAGTTAGCACTTGTGTGTGTGTGTGTGTGTGTGTGTGTGTGTGTGTGTGTGTAGGGGGATGGGTTACAGAGGAGGGCCGAGGGGGGAGGAGAGCAGGAGGAGGTGGTAGAGTTTCAGGCCCGGGAGGGGGGCGCCGGGGTGCAGTGACGGGAACCAATGAGCTGCCAACTCGCGCGTCTCCGGCGTGACTGCCGAGATTGACGTGGAAGACACGTCAAATTGATCTCCGCACGCTGCAACCTCCCGGTCAGACGAATTTCTCCTAATCGGATGAAGTTCACTCTAGGCCTGGGGTCGCGGGCGTGGAGAGTGTCCTGGGAGCGCCCGGCGGCGGCGGCGGGCCAGGGGGAGGGCGGCTGCGCGCTCGGCGGCGGCGCACGGCGCGTTTCCAGCCCGTGGCCCGGCCGCCGCGGCTCCCGACTCGCGCGCGCCCTCCCTCTATGCCTCTCCCGCGGCGGCGGCGCCCGAGCTCTCCCGGACTGTGCCGGGCCCAGTCCCGGCCGCTTCGGCGCCAGGCAGCTGGCTGGCCCGCGCGCTATGGGTAAGGGACGAGCGGTAAGGGGGCGCGGGCGGGCGGGCGGACGAGGCGGGTTGGGTCCTGGCACCTCCCTTTCCTCTCGTCTGCTCTCCTTGGGAGAGCAGGTCCCGGGTCCCTGACAAGTCGCGTTTTCCGCACGCCCCAAGCCATCGGGGATTGGGGAGGGGAGTTCGGCGTGTCGCAGGAGGGGATGTGCCAATTAGGCGCGTCAAAAGTCCAGAAAGGGCACACAGGGCTGAAGCGCCCGGCGTCCCCCTCTGCAGCCCTTACGCGGGCGTCCACTCCTGGAGCCCGGATCCGGTCCGTTTGCTCGCACTGCGAGATTCTGAGGACCCGCCCGCCGATCACCTTCCAAGGCGCGCCTGGTGTAGCCACCCTTTTTGGCTAACCCGCCGGTGTTTTCTCTCCCGCCTATTTACTCTCGTCCGGCGCGTCCGCAGAGCAGACGTACGGCGAGGTGAACCAGCTGGGCGGCGTGTTCGTCAACGGCCGCCCCCTGCCCAACGCCATCCGCTTGCGCATCGTGGAGCTGGCGCAGTTGGGCATCCGACCCTGTGACATCAGCCGGCAGCTTCGCGTATCCCACGGCTGCGTGAGCAAGATCCTGGCGCGCTACAACGAGACAGGCTCCATCCTGCCCGGGGCCATCGGGGGCAGCAAACCCCGCGTCACTACCCCCAACGTGGTCAAGCACATCCGGGACTATAAGCAGGGCGACCCTGGCATTTTTGCCTGGGAGATCCGCGACCGGCTGCTGGCCGATGGCGTCTGCGACAAGTACAACGTGCCCTCTGTGAGCTCCATCAGCCGAATCCTGCGCAATAAGATTGGCAGCCTGGCGCAGCCTGGGCCCTACGAGGCGAGCAAGCAGCCGCCGCCACAGCCGGCGCTGCCCTACAACCATATCTACCAGTATCCCTACCCCAGCCCTGTGTCGCCTACTGGCGCCAAGATGGGTAGCCACCACGGGGTCCCGGGCACAGCAGGCCACGTCAGCATACCCCGTTCATGGCCCTCGGCGCACTCGGTCAGCAACATCCTGGGCATTCGGACGTTTATGGAGCAAACAGGTCAGTCTCGGTGGCCCTCTGTAGCGTTCCTGGAAAGGGCTGAATTGGAGATTGGAGGTGGGGGGGGGCGGGCATGCGGGCAAAGGGTCGCACTTGTCATCCTCCTCAGACCGGTTTTGGCTCAAGGGACGGTGCAGGGCTGGCCAGGGAGACTGAGGGTCTTGGGCCTTCTGTGGGAGTCCTCGGACATCTTGAACTTTTTATGACAAATATGGAAAATATTTCCCAAATGGAAGAGCAATCGCCGACCACAAATTCGGAGGCCTGGAATTGCGCTTTTTCATTCTTGCAAAAAGTATGCAAAACCCTATCACCAGATCTAAGCCAAACAAACCAGAGTCAATCCTGCGACTGTTTCTTATGATCCCCATCTTTTGGGTTCCCTGAGCATTCCCCAAAGGGTTCTGTTCCTCCCAGGCCCATAGGCTCTTTTGAGTCAAAAAGCACAGGGGAGCTGTCTGGCAGGTCTTGTCAAATGGCCTGTATCTCCAGCAGGCCCAGCAGCCCTGCAGCTCCTGGAGCTGGGATCTCCCTTGTCAGTGCCCCGGGGCTGCAGCCATCCTGGGGTGAAAAGGTGCAAGGATTTGCCCTTTGCCTGCAATTTTCATCCAGCACACTGTCATCCCTCTTTCTTGGCAGGGGTAGGAGGGAGCGAGGGGGGAGCGAATGGGGCAGCATTGATTCGGTGCTCAAAAAGAATTTTTGTGGGTTGGGACTGAGTCCCCAGTCTCTTCACAGTGTCCCCTGCTCCCAACAACCAGCCAGGGAATTGTGTGCTCTTAAGTGAGCAGACTCTATGTGCGTAAGAAGCAAAACTCACCTTATCCCAAGACAGAGGAGGGAGGGCTTGAAGGAAACTGAATGCTTAGCTCCAGTGGCAGTGGGGTGCTCCTCCAAGGCCGAGACCGGGCACAGCTTTATTTATCCCGGTGACTCAAAAACCCTGGGCCATTTGCTGGGCCAAATCTCCCCATGGTGTGATCAGTGGACAGTTGGCTGGGAGGTGACCTCATCAGGTCAGTGCTCAAATCTGGAATCTTCTCTCAGTTACCTGTGTACACACCTGCTCCAGGAGCAGACATGTGCTTGGGACGAAGGCGGGTGTCTGGGTTGTTGCCTCTTTTGGGAGACCTGGGATGTCTCCAGAGGCAGTTCGGCATATCCTTCCAGACGCCTGTTGAGACTGAGAAACCCATGTAATTCTCACAAGCCTGCTGGGGATTTGAACTTGGACCTTTCCGGTCGCTGTTTCTGGACAGCGGAAAGGCACCTTGGCTGAGTGCGCCCAGCCCTGGCCCTACAGGCCACCTACCGCCAGAGACTTACCGTTTCGTGGGAAGCGGGTCGAAGGCTGGGAGGAATGCGGAGCAGGACTTTCTTCCCTCTGCCCTACAAGGAATGAAAGCAAAACCCAGTTCCCAGCTACCCCTCTGCCTCCGATCGCTCTCTGAGTGTTTGAGTATCTCAGGTGTTCCTGAGGACCCTTCGCCACCCGCTCAGATATGAGCCCAGCGCTTGTAGGCTTGTGTGGAAACTTCTGGACTGCGCCTGTGCCCAGCGCAGATTGGGATGCCCCTTCTAATCCATCCTGTGTCCCCGCAGGGGCCCTGGCTGGGAGCGAAGGTGCTGCCTACTCCCCCAAGATGGAAGACTGGGCTAGCGTGAACCGCACGGCTTTCCCGGCCACTCCAGCAGTGAATGGTCTCGAGAAGCCTGCCTTGGAGGCGGACATTAAATACACTCAGGTAACTGAGCGCCGGGGGAAGAAGGTGTCTTTAACTGGGGGAGCAGGAGGGTTGGCGGATGAGGGGAGAGAGAAAGAGAAGAGAAAACTCCCTCGGGCCAGGGAACGTGTTGGTGTGTCTGGCTGCCCGGCCAGTGAGCGTCTGCGCCAACCTATTTCTCTCCTTTTCTCAAGTGCATTAGTTTGGGGGAGGCTGGCTGTCCAGGCGATTGCTTTGCTTTTTGCCAAGATACTTTTGTTAAAAAAAAAAAAAAAAAAAAAAAAAAAGCTGGAACCCGGAACACAGATGGGAGATGACTCCCTTCTTCTAAATCCCAGTTGGTGGACACCATGACCCCCCTCACCTCTTATTATTATTTATAACAATTTGCGTGGAAATCACTTTGCCAGAGTCCTTACTGGGAAAACGAGAGGCCAGGCCTTGCGCGGGGATAATGGAGGGGACCACAAGGGGAAATGAGGATTCCCTAGCTCAGTAATTGCGCGGGCGGGGGAAGACTGCCTGGCCGCCTGCTGCTGATGGTCTGTCCTCGATCCCTACAGTCGGCCTCTGGCCTCTCTGCGGTAGGCGGCTTCCTGCCAGCGTGTGCCTACCCGGCCTCCAACCAGCACGGCGTGTATAGCGCACCAGCCGGCGGCTACCTCGCCCCGGGCCCGCCGTGGCCACCAGCGCAGGCGCCGCCGCTGGCGCCTCCCGGGGCCGGCGTCACCGTCCACGGTGGCGAACTGGCCGCAGCGATGACCTTCAAGCATCCCAGCCGGGAAGGTGAGGGGCGCGGGCCGGGAGGGGGTCGGATGAATGGCTCTAAGGTTAGGAAGGGTGCAAAGGAGGAGTGTAAGCATGGGGCATGGTGAGAGAGTCAAAGAGACAGATACAGAGACGTACAGAAAGAGGGGAGGGCTGGGGTGCTGGAGTGGGTCCCAGGCATAAATCCTTCCTAAGCCTGTAGCTTCTTGGAGCAGACTGATTTATAACAGGTGTATGCCCTGTTCCTAGAAAGGCAGGCAGAGTTGAGAGAGTCCCCAGGACTGTCCCTCCTGACTTGTACAGAGAGAGAAGGAAGAGGGTCAGGTTGGCGGACAGGACTCCTAGGTTTGAACCTAGTTTTGTGTCCTTGACCAAGTTATTGCTCCTTTCTGGGTCTCAGTTTCTCCATCTGCAGAAGGATTCAGAAGCACCATCCTGCTCACCTTTCTGAGGCTTGCAGAGCTTTGCCTTCTGTGGTGGACTACATTTGGATTTTTCTAGGCACTGCGTCTCTGTTTCGTTTCTCCCTTCCCTTCCCTTCTTTCCTTCCTTCCTTCCCTCCTTCCAGGCCCTGGTCTTTGATTCATTTTCTTAAATATATGCTTTGGGAAATGGGGAGAGCATTTCAATCATGTATCCCCAAGTCTAGACTCTTGAACTCTGTGTGATTTGGGGTCCGTCTTTCTGTGGGAAATGTAGCTGGAAGTTCTCCTTCCTCTTCTCCCTCCATGAATCCACTCCCTGGTAAGTCCACTAACAGATTTGAGGTATTTAATTGATGGTTAGCAGTGTGAGGGTCATCTTCTTACACTGCCCTCTGAGTTCTATTTTTTTCTTATAACTTGGGAAAAGCTCACTTGCTCTTGAGTCTCATTTTCCTCATTGGTGAACAAGGGCTGGATTTGCTAATTTCAAACCTTCCTGCATTTAGGTTCTCCTCACCAGACATTTGCAACTTCTACAACCCTACAGAAAAGGAAGAAGTCACTTGAGGGGGTCCCAGCCCTGGCAGTGAAGGAAACAGAGCATAAACGGGGAGGGCAGTGTGGGGCAGAGGGATGTTCTAGATTACAAAGGGATCTTTACCACTTGATCTTCCTCACACCTACCAAGGTGGACATTGGGGGCAAGTGGCATTGGGTAATCAGGGGACAGGAGGGGGCTTCTTCTATGTGACATCCAGGCAAAAAGCTTTATTTCCACGTAGTTTCAGTGCAATAGCATGATGAGAGAGAGAGAGAGAGGAGCCATTAAGGTGCCATCAATAACAGTCAAGTGGAGGGAAATTTTTTTTTTTTTCATTTTTCACTTTTTCTAGAACATAAACATCTTGGGGTATAAATTACAAAAACTGAGAATTAGAACTCCTTTACGCTTTACATTTCAGGACAGATGGGGGGATCTTTTTCATCTGTAGAAGTGCTTTTGCTCAGGGTCTTGGAGTGGTGGAGTGGGTCCACCCCACCCTCCCAAGGAAGGAGGCATAAATCCTTCCTTGTGCTTTTGCTCAGGGTCTGGTCCTCGGCCTCAAATCTAACTGCTTCCTTAAGAACGGAGGTTATCTGCTGAATTAGGAACAGAAAAGGAATCTTCTCCATTACACAAATCAAATCTTTTAAGCAGGTTCATTTGAATTAGAAAAGCATATCTACAAATTGAAATGATCTCAGGGAGAAAGAAGACTTAAGAAAAAGGACTCATTATCTTCAGAACAATGCCATCATTTGCTAACAGAGCCACTTTGTCCTGAGGCATTTCAGACTCCACATTAGAAACAAATTATGATGTGTAGGTAACAATCCAAAGGGAAAACACACAGTTCAGAATTCTAAACTAATTCTAGTGAATTGGGCGGGGGAGAGGGGAATCTGTTGGTGGCTGATTTTCTTTAGAAGATACTTTCTTTCAGAAATACAGGGCCATTCAGTGGCCCTGACATTCATGTCCCTTTTACCAGTATATTTGCTTCCTGTTATGAAACGTCCCACCCATTTTCAAAATCCAAAGCAATAAATTAGCTACCTTAGTTATTAAATTAATACCTTAATTTCCTGACCCTCACAGTTCTTTAAAGATCTAGGTAAATGATCATTGAATAAATCAGGCCCATCACTGAAAATGATTTCTCAAGCTGGCATACAAGTGTAAGTGTTTGAACAGAAACATAAAAATCATGAGAATTACATGCCTATTTGGGTCATGGAGTTTTACCCTTCTCACTGGCAGAAAAGTTGACTTCAAAGACCCTCCCCTTCCCTGCTCCTCCCCCTCCTTTGAAAAAATGCAAAGTAATAAGAGTCACTGCCTTTAATTTTTCTAATCATTACTTAAATTGTCTTCAAAGAAACTTATCCCATAAGACAATTTGCTATCATTAATTGTCCAGTTTTTAAGAATAGTAAGAATAGCATTTACTGAATTTTTTTCAGTAACAAAAATTTTCTACCGAAAGCAATTTAATATTATGCATGTTCAGTAACAAGCAAACACTTTTGATCATCTAGTGCTTACACGCACAACACACATAAAATATTTTATCTGTCTATCTTCACATCCATCTGCTTCAGTGCATCCTCCAAATCAGTGCAAATGAACATTAAATGTTACCCTGAGGGAAGTCAAATCAAATGTCAAATTATGCATTGCTACTTATTAATTTTTTATTGGTAAAGGGTAGCGAGGCTGGGCTACCTATTTTGTAGGCGAGGAAGTATGATTTACATTTTCCATCCGTGAAAGGAAACTTTAATTCTTGGGGCCTGAGAGAAAAGGAAAGTTCCACCCCACCTACATTTGGAGCGGACCTGGTATTTTTGGAATCTCAGTACTCATCTAATTTCTTTTTGTAGCCAGGACAGGACCATCTCCCCACACCCCTTCCCAGCCTCTGGACAGGTGACAGACGCCACCAGAGGTTCTTGCAAGACAACTGGTATTTACAATTTACAGTGTGTTTTCAGAAACCATCAAAGCCTCATGGTTCTAAAATCCCTCCCAGAGGGACTTTGGAAAGCCTAAGTTTTCGAATATCAAATCTAGAAGATATTGCATATTCCTCAAAGAAAATATGTTTATACTTCTTAAACTCAACTCGAAGCTTCATTCCACTTATCTCTGCTTGGGATTAGTTCTTGAGGGATCTATCCTGAAAAAGTACTTTGCCAGAGAGCACTAGGTTGCAGGCGTTTGTGTGAGAGACCCAACAAAGCCAACCAGGTTTCATTTGACCTGGCTCTGGAGACCCCTTCTCAGACCCCACCTCTGTCCGCCCCTACCGTGGTCCCAGTGGCCCTGCAACCGCAGTCCTAATATTTTGAAAACCCTTGTCCCCATTCCTGCCCCCTAAGATTAAATGAACCCGCAGGGCACCTAACACCGCAGGCTCAAGCCTCCGAGGCCCCCAGGACACAGCCACTCAGGTTGCCTCTGGCCCTGCGGGTGGGAAAGGAGGGGAGGAGAGGTCCAATGGCAAGGGCTGGTGTGGACAGACCTAAAAATGCAGCAGCAGGGTGGAATCTATCTCTGGGCCCTCCGGTGTTTATTTTTTACTAGTTCATTTTCTCCTTTGTGTCTAAGGCAACCGTCCCATAGCTGAGAAACCGCCGCCTCCTCTGATGTTTTCTGAACAGGTCCTCACCTTGAAGGGGAGTACACGGTGGAAAACAAGGGTCAGAAGACCTCGTTGGCTGAGCAGCCACAATCGTCTTTAGGAAAGAGAGCTGAGAGGAGGGGGAGGGCAGAGTGGTCACTCTGCCCTGGAAAGGTCTTTAGACCCCTCTGAAAACCCCTGTGAAACCAGATGTTCCAGGGGTATCCGGCGCAGCTCCCGCGCAGTCACAGCAAATTGCGCCTGCTACTGGAGCATGGGCAGCTGCAGGGGAAAAAAATCCAGAAATATCCCGATCCCAAAATGAGGCGCTTCGAGCTTCCCCTTTTAAAAGAGGACTTGAAGGGGAGAAGAAGAAAGCTGAGAATGGGCGCCTTTAGGTATAAACTACTTGAGCTTCCTGCAGGAGGAGCTGAGCGGCCAGGGGCTGGGAAAGGAGAAACAGGTTGCGCAATCGTGGCGTCACTTTGCTGGTTTCCAGGGGCAAAACTCGGGCCCCTTCCAAAACCCTAAATAATAGAGCAACGCGCAGAATGCCGTCTTCTCGCAGATTCACTGTCACTTAATCCGGAGGCCTATAGGCTCCAGGGCGTGCTGTGACCGCAGTGGGGATAGTAGCTGTGTTCTCGGGCCGCGGGGCAGAACGAAGTCGGCCACCCATTTAAAGCGCGGCCGCCTCCGGTGCCGAACGGATCCTGACCGCCGCGGACCGTCTATCAGGGGCGGCTTTGGTGACCCGCTTCACGCTCTGTTACCCTCTGTCCACCGCGAGCGTCCCGAGCCGCTCTGGGGACAGTGGACCTGATGCGCTGGCATCTCCCCAGGCCTGAGCGCGCAGCTGGGGTCTGGGTGGCGGTGGAAGGAGGGGAGCGGGGGTCTCGGATCTGAGAGCCTCCCCCGCCGGGCTGCCCTATCGACCTGAGCGCCCATCACCTCCTTTATTGAGAGGGTGCGGGGCAAAGGCAAGTGCACTCGGGGGAACAGGGAGCGTTTGCAACACGGCCAAGGCTGTGCTCACTCGTGGCTCCCTTAAGGGGATCCGGAAAGATGGGCGCCAGTGGGCCTGTGGGGTCCTGGGAGGACGCGGGTCCGGGCTTCCTTCTTCCAAACCCCTATAGTGTCAACCCCGGATCCTCGCGTTGTCACCCGCGTTTGCGGACGTCGCAGACCTCTGGGTCTCTCACTCTGAGCCGCGCCAGCCAGTGACCCGACGTCCCTGTGCTTCCTCCCGCAGTGGCCGATCGGAAGCCGTCCAGCCCCGGCGGCAAGGTCCCGGATGGCCTCAGTAGCTTACACGGACTGCCCATCCCAGCCTCGACCTCCTAGGGGCAGCGCTTCCCCGAGCCCGAGCCCGAGCCCAAACCCGGAGCAAGAGGCGGACCGGCGGGCGGAGCGGGGCGTGCAGCTCGGCCTTGCAGTCTCGGTGGCGCGCGCGGGACCCAGGACAAGCCGAGGAGGTGCCCAGAGCCAGCCCGCGGGGGGCCCGCCCCGTCGGTTCCCAGGCGCACCGGTTCCCAGGTTCCCCACCGGCCCGGCGGCCATACTTCCTTCACCGGCCAGGGTTTTTAGGCTTCTCTGAAATTTGGCTTTAGACTGTTGCACCCTCGTCCCGATCCTTGCTTCGACATGGCCTCCCTCGCCCGGCCAGCCTCAAGTGTCTTTTCCTACCTCTCCCAAGGTGGTTCGGCACCCTGCCTCCCTCCCTCCCTCTTCCATTCTCTGCCTCGTGTCCTTTCTGTCTTTGCTTCCTCCCTCCTTCCTATCCTAGGTTCCTTTCCTTCTTCATGTTTCCCCGCCTTCCTTTTGTCCTCTTTAATTTTTCTCCCCGCAGTCTTCCTGCTTCCCTTTCTCCTTCACATTCTGCACCACTGTGCTCCCTTTCCTGGGGTCCTGCCCCCCTTCTCTCTTTAGTGTCTTTTACAATAAGTGACTCCGTTTCTCTTCATTCCTACTGCTTCCCTGACCTAAAGGCCTTCCCAGGAGAGCCCCAGACTGGGCTCCCCATCAGTCCTCACTCTGCAGTTGGTACTCTTTAGTCTCCACCCCTCGGAGCCCCCCAGCCCTAATGGAGGGTTCTGGAACCTAGGAAATGGACAGAGAGGCCATGGCCTTTATTTTATATTTTTATATTAATGAACCCAAGCAAAACCCGGTTGAACTATCTTATTTTCTCTCTCTCCCCCAGGATATTGTCTGATAATCTGTATGTTCTCAGTGCTTAGTGGCTGAGCTTCTCCTTGCTTCCTCTGAGATGATGTCACCCCAAAGAAGATTGGGGATGAGAAGGGGGCATTGTGGTCATTGGTATTTTCTTTCCTTAGAAAACTGCATGCCCTGGAGGTGCTCCTTCCCACCCTTACACACCTAACAGGAGGGAATCTAACACAATATAAATGCATCAGCACTGTTTTCGGTTTTCAGGGGTCAGCACATTTGTTAATTTAAACCACAAACTGCTTCCGGGTACAAAGGTGCAATCTGGCTTCTGGTTTGCAAGGGGATGAGGGACAGAAAAACCCAGAAAGTGTCTTCTAGAGCTGGACGCAAGAGCTGTTCACTGCTTCCAAGTTCAGGCGCACTGGTGGCGGGACCCTGGACATAAAACTGCAATTTTTGTAGTCATAAAAATGTCACTGGTGAGAGTGTGACATCACCTGTTAAACGTGGCTGCCTTTGAATAAAGGAAAGCATCTGGAGAATGCTCCGTAAGGGTGAGCAAGTCTGTGTCCAACCTGCATTGTCGTGTAGGTCCGCCTCACCTACTCTAGTCCCTCAGTTCCCAGCATGAACACAAATATTAAGATGACATTATTTGAATGGTTTATTCACTAGCAGCCTGGGTTGGGCAGGAGGTGGAGGAGGAGGCGAAGGAGGAACATTTTCAGGGCTCTGCCCCAGGAAACTCCAGGGAAGAGAAGCACTGTGCAGAAATCATGCTAACAGGAGGCTGATTCTTAGAAGAACAAAGTGGGCAAAAGACAGTGAGCAGCAATGAGGACTTTCCCGGAACATTTCTAATGTTCTGAAAGCGAAAGAAAATTATCCCAGGCTACCAAACCATTTAGGGATTTCTAACTACACAGGGGTTTCTGGCTAATTGTTTTGTTTTTTCCTTTCCGCATTTGGCTTTCTCAAACTGACAGAAGATATATATTCTTTTTTTCAGAAGACATTTTTTTGTTGTTGTTGTTGCTATGGTAATTTGTATTTCCACTGGTTTTTTTTTTTCTTTCATTTTTTTATTCTTATGTTAATCCCCATACATTACAACATTAGTTTTAGATGAAGTGTTCCATGATTCATTGTTTGTGCACAACACCCAGTGCTCCATGCAGAATGTGCCCTCCTCAATACCCACCACCAGGCTAACCCATCCTCCCACCCCCCTCCCCTCTAGAACCCTGTTTGTTTTTCAGAGTTCATCGTCTCTCATGGTTCGAGAAGACATTTTTGAATTGAAGGTTTTGCTTGTAAGTGGAGCTGCCTGTTCGGACTAATGGAGGGGACCAGTGGGGAAATTATTTTTATCATATCTCGTTGCAATCATACCCACTGAAGGTATTAATTACAAAACAGTATCTGATTTTTTTCATATAGAAACTTTTGTTTCCAGGTTTTCAAAGGCTTTGGCCTTAAAAAAGTTCCACTTTATAGGTAGGAACATTGAGGACTAGCTATTTGGTTTCTTTTCTCTGGACCATACAGCTAATTACAAATTGTGGGGTTTGGGCACAAAAACTAGGTGACACCACCTCATCAGAGAGCCAGGATTGGGGCTGGAACTTTGAGTCTGGGGTCCTTAGCCTTCTGTGCTGGCATTTCCTGCCGAGAAGCTGGTCAAAATGATAATAGGACTAAAGTATGAAAAGGAAGCATGTTTCCAAGTTGCTAGTCCTCTCAGCCTGTCCTCATGTACTTAAATGAGCTTTACATGCTCATGATTTTCATGATTCCATGATTGTTGCCTGGAGGAGGACAGGCTTGCTTGGGACAGGCAGAAGGCATCCCACTGCTTTCTGAAGAAAAGAGAAGACTCTGTGTTGAACCTGTCTCTGAGTTGCCATCATCCCTATTTCCTCGACATTTCCCACTTTTGTGTTTGTGCTCCCAGAGTTAAGGGTGAAAAAGCTGGGAAAAGCCAACCAGGAAGGTTGGAAGACACCTATGTTGTAAATGCCACCTGCAAAGCGTGGCACATTCCAAGTCTGTCCCTGGTGGTTCCCCATATCCTGTGGCCGGAGATGGGCCTTTCAGAGTTCCTTGACCTTGGGGTGAGCTTGCACGGGGCATGGGCAGCATTCAGTCACAGAGCCTACCAGCAGGCTTTGACATTGCATGTGGGATATGCAGCGACATCCCTTCTGCCTTGAGGTCTCGGGGCATGGGAAGACCCAGGGAGCTTGGGTTAAATCCCTGCTCCACTGTAGTGTGACCCACTGAGGCTGTGACCTCTGAGCCTCTGTGGTCTTGTCTATGAAATGTACCATCCAGTGCAGTGACACCTATGGTGACCTGGCCTAGAGGAAGACTGACACTGGTGTTGCTTCATCTCTCTGGAGATGACTTTGCTGTTAAAGAAAGATATGAGAGTCATTTTAACAGTTGATGGGGGACCCAGAATTTTAAACATTTTTTTTCAGAGGATCCCATCAGAATATTGCAGTTTTGGTGTCTGTGCTTACGGATCTGTGGAGGTACTAGGGATGTAGGATAAAATTAGGTAGTACCGTGTTAGGTAGAATAATATAAGAAACAATCATTCCTGGAAGCAATTTGTCTTTCTTCTTGCCTTTTATTTTTTAACTTAAGAGTAATATTTCTTTTTAATATAGAGAAGCACTAAAGAGGAAATAAACAAAAAAAGACATAATCACTCAAGTAACCTTTTGTTTTTTTTTGAAAGAATGAAAGTAATATATGTACATTGTTAGAAAATTCTAGCAGTACAGAAACATTGAAATGAAAAGTGAAAGTTTCTTCCTATGCTCATCTCTGTCCTTAAAGGTTGAACACTGTTACAGTCTTCTATGAATCCTTCCCAGAAAAAAAAAAATGCAGACAGCACAATCTGTTTCTGTATGTGTGCTATTTAACAGTGCCCACCAAGGATCTGTGCTATATACACACAGATAGGGTCTGGATATCTGATCTCTGCATACCAGCAGCTTCAGCTCCACTGTATTCACTTTATTCTCCTGAAGGGATGCATATCAACAGGGTTTATTGAAAACAGAGTATTTGTAAAGAGGGCCAGCTTGAGCTTTAAATGAATAAAGGCAGGATTTTGTTGCATTCATTATTGGAGCAAATGCTTCAAATGGGTTGTAATAACGTCTCTGGGAAAGGTGGCTGTTTTTCGGCAAGGAGGAAGGGAAGCAAACCAAAAGGAAGGAGACAGACAAGAGACAGAGTTTTGTCCTTCTTGAAGACATTCTGACTTGTTTTCCAGATCACTGAAGGGCATTTAAAGCTTCGAGGGGCTGGCAAATGCAGTTTTCCTTTCCTTTGAAGAGAGTCTGTCTCTCTAGGTCAGGAAAGAGAGAGAGGCAAAGGGGTGGGGGAAAATGTTGGATAGGAATAAAGTGTAAATATCTAGTCCTGGCATAAGCTTGCTTCTTACCTGTCCCAAATTCACTTGGAATCCCTGTGGAATTAGCTTCCTGACGGATGAACCTTGCTCATAGACAACTGTGTTTCCCCATTTGCTTGTTTCTTGACTCCTGTTAAAGAGGATGGGATTTATTTAATTGAATGGTGGTTCAGGTTAAAGCACTCTGTAGGTTTCCTGGCATCAGCTTCCCTACCTAGAATTACATTGGCCTGGGTTTCTTTTCAAAAGAAACTCTACCTGCTCCGTGTTATGCTGGATAATATGAATTTAGAATCTTGCCAAAATGTGCCTGAGGAGTTCAGTTGAAAGGACTGTGCATCCAGACAGCCTACATAATGAGAAACACTTGATTCTCTTCTTTTAATGGGCAGGAATTATGCACAAAATGGTATTTGGTCTTCACCTTGACCTCGCTGTCTGAACTATAGCCTCATTCACTGAAGAAATGTCCCGTGGCTGAGATAGTTCTAGCCAAATGATTGGATCTCCATTTAGAAAAAACAAAACAAAACAAAAAACTTCTGTTTTTGGATTCTTCTTCTCTTTTTCTTTTTTAAGGCCAGAGCAAGGAGGAATCACAGTGCCTCTTTTTCAAGGCATTACAACAAGAACCACACATTTAGTCAGAATCCAACTCGGGAATTCTAAACACTTGGAACAATTATACTCAATTTAAATAAGTCTCTTCTTTCGAGTTGAAACTGGTTGAAACTCCTGTTTCACTCTAAAGAGCTCTTCTCCAGGAGAAGCAGTCTGTGATCTTGGTCGGAACACACATCTGTTACTGGGCTGGCCAAATCCAAAAGTGGAATCCCAATTACAGTTTTCATGGCTGATGGAATTTCAGCTGCACTACAGTTGAACCACCTGGGCTGCCTCCACTGTCTTTTTTCATCCTAAGGATGAAATGAGCTGATTGAGTGTTCATTCAGCTCTTAAATTACATTTCCATCCCGTAACATTTTATTTCCTTTTTCTCTGGTGAGATATATTGACCAATGGGTTATCTCCAGTTTCTTAGACCAGCCACATAGTGTTCACTTTTGGGAGTTCTCCTGGTCGCTGGTGGATGTGGTTTTAGCTTCCTAAGATTTTTTTTTTACCCCAAACAACACACAACAGAATGAAAATTCTTTAACTAGTTGGTTTGGATTTAGCAAGAAATCTCTTGGAGGAAAAAATGAGTGAGATATTTGAATGAATTGAAAGAAGTAGATTTTTTTTTGAAAAGTTGAATTGGAACCTAGGACCCCATGAAACATTAAAAAAAAAAAAAGAAAAGAAAGAAACAAAGGAGAAAGAAAAAAGAAAACATTCCTTAGGCAAACAAGGTGTAGAAAGATTAGCTTGAAGATCTAAGAAACCAAAGGTATCATTCTGGCCACCAGGGGGAGCACACATTGTTCCATGAAGATAGAGGGGAAAACAAAGCTAACAATCTACAAAAATATTCATCATTCTGGTGAACCTGTCTGGGTTGTGAACAATACCTGTTTACAAGAAGAGCGCTTTTGTTGTTGATATTCTTATTGTAATTGTTGACTAGACACTTTGATTCTGAGCAAAAAGGAGCAGTTGGGCTTGTGGTGAAAAATGGATTTTTTGGCTCATCCACATGGGAATTATTAAATAAATTAGCTGAGAATTCAAGAACCCCTTATAAATAAGTATCACTTCTGATTTTGACTCTGGTAGATACATACATCCAATTATCTGAATACAGAACAAGTAAATATGAATTTGAAAAAGCAACCTATTCGAAACATATTTTTAAGAAATACAGTGGATTTTATCTGTATTTGTGCAATGTTGATGTTTTTGATTAATTTGAGTTTGAATCTCAATTTTAAGCAACATACCCATTTTTAATGATTTTTGAAGTTCTTAATCGTGTAAGGTCACAATTTACATTTACAGTAACAGTCAATGTATTACAGAGAGGCAGCAAACAGCAAGGAAAAAGGCTTTTATTTTCCTTACTTTTCTATTTATTTTAGGATAAAAGCCTAAATAAAGGGGGGAAGCCTCTTTTACGATTTTTTCTTTTCTAACCATTTTTTAACCTGGACTTTTACATATACTGAACTCATCCTACCAGCTGTGAATTACCCCATGGGCAGAAGGTAGTCTAGGAAGGGATGGGGTACATGGTGGCTAAAAGTTGGCAGAGCTAGCTAGGTTCAAATCTCAGTTTTACCACCTGGAAACTGTGGTGCTTTGGGCAAGTTTATACAAAACTTACCAGCCTCAGTTTCCTTGTCTGTTTAGTGGGACTAATATTCCCTCCTGGGGGCACTTCTGTGGATTAAATTTGATTATATGTAGAGAGTAGAGACTTGCTTTGGGTCAGTCAGTCGGGATTAGTTTTATTATTGTTCTTTTCTTCTTGTCCTTTGTGCATTCCCATCAATATTTTATAGTGAATTCATTCATGTCACAGCCCTGCAGACCATATTTTCTATATATCAGATTTGTGAAAAATACAGAGGCCTTCAAGACTGCTAATGCTAATCTTGGAATTTCCTGAAACTTTCAACAGCATCAAAGGGAGTGCCACTGTCAGCTACTAATCAGAGCTGGTAGCCCTGGGACATTCACCAAAACCTAAAGAGTACTTGATGATTTTATGGTTAAACCAGTGAGGATTAATGACCGGCCAGGTTGCCATCATTACGGTACTGAAGTAGATTTTATGTGCCAAGCGCGCTTAGATCAATGTCATGTGACTATGCTTCCTGTCAGGTCAACAGACCAGAAACAGAGGCCTTGTCCTACTGTGTTCACCTCAAGGGGGCCAAAAAGCCTGTTGCTTTTCCTGCTGACTATAGCATGCTGATTATTGGCAGCCATGTTGGACTTTGGCCTTTGTCGTCCTGCTCCATACTGATTAAATGTTTTGTAAAAATAAAGCCACCCCCATTTCTGCCTTCTCCCTCTGGCTGGCTGCCACTGGGGACGCAAAGAACACAGAAGCTTTCAACTCAATACCTTCAGGAAGATCCTAAGAGACATTTCAGGACATCAGGAGAGGAAATGACTTGTCCCCATCAGGTGTCCATTTTGGAGCTTGAAGTGTAGGTGAGATCTTCATATGTTGTTGAAGTTTAATTAGAGGAAATCCACACATGCTCAAATTTGTGTGGCAAAAGAACATTTAAAGTGTAGCTCTAGAATTTACTATTTTAGTAACATTTATATGCATCCATCTACATCTTTTTACTTAACAATGCTTCTTTGCTCCAGAGGGAGTCCATGGGTTTTTTCCAAATGTTTGTAGCCTTATCAGTTGTGTGTGAAAGTTGTCTACTGATTGAATATGGCAGTTGAGTTCTGACTTTAAATTATTTGGAATTTATTCTCACAGAACGGATGCTTTCAAAAGTAAACAAAGACATTAAAACATGTGTAAAAAGACTCTGTCACACATTGTGAAGTGCAAAGTGTAAATGAATTTTTATAAGCATATGGATCTCATTTCTCTTAGGGTATGCATGAATTTAAAAATTAAAAGAAAATGTGCTGGCTACAATGTGTTTTTAGTTCACATTAGACTTTAAAAACAATCAGAGGTGCCTAATATATTCATAACGGAGCAGACTCCTTCATCCTATGATGTCATTTGAACCATGGGATAATGATTAATATTACCCCCAAGAGTCTTTTTTGAAAGAAGCTCCAGAGTGGCACTTGCAATTTGAATTTCTGTTTTTAAGCACATTCTACAGTTTATGGCCAACTTCTTTCTTCCTGCACAAACTTCCAGGTTGCAATGCTCAGCACACTATCACTGTCATTTAAGGTTGGCTAGCACCATAGTGCAGTCAAATAGTTGAGGCTTCATAATATTTACATTGAAGTGGAAGAGGTGTGAGAGAGGAAAAAAAGTGCAAGGGAAGCAATGTTCAGCCCCTGTGGTCACATGGAATGGATTCTGTCAAGAATGTAAAATAACATTTGTATCTAAGTCGTGCTCAGAATTGGTAAAAGATCTACAGTCCAGTCAAAAATGTAGCCAACGTTTTTAATTTAGTTTTCATGATAACATAGCCTTAGAGAATTATTCAGGTTGTACTAGGCTCAGCATCAGAAGAAATTTTGGCTGCAAGAATTTCATTGCATTTAGTTAAGCGAAAACAAATTAGCATAGACATTTTTTTCTTTCAAGCTTCACTTTCCGCTGTGATGTTAGCAACTGCTGTTAAGAGTGGTAACCATTGGTCCAGTAAGAGATTTCTTTTTTTTTAAAGTTTTTTTTTAAAGTATTAAGCTTTTTTTTTTTTAAGATTTTATTTATTTGACAGAGCAAGAGAGCACAAGCAGGGGGAACAGTAGAAGGAGAGAGAGAAGCAGGCTCCCTGCCAAGCAGGGAGCCCAATATGGGGCTCCATCCCAGGACTCTGGGATCATGACCTGAGCTGAAGGCAGATGCTTAACCATCTGAGCCACCCAGGTGCCCCCAGTAAGAGATTTCTTTTGAGAGTTTAATACACGTGAAAATAATAAATGGTCCAGTTGATTTCCATCTGTTTTGATCAATGTAGAGCCTTTTAACTCAGGATTCCTTGGATAAAAATAAAATTTTTATACCCTCATACACGTAAAATATTATTGTTTCCAAAGAAGTATTATGGCTTAAAAAAAAAGAAGTAATATAGGAGAAAAAGTTCTAATCTTGAAAGAGCCATTCTCCCTGCCCCCCCACCCCATTGGGATTGTTTGTCCCAATCTCGTGGAATCTCTTGTTTGTCCCAAGCTTTTCTAGCAGAGATAGGCACCTTATCAATGATATCTAATGTAGAGGCTAGGATTTTTAAAGCCAGGGTGTAGGAGAACAGGGTCCATGAA